CTCTCCGCCTGCAGTGAGCATCGGTAGATCCGTGAGTGCACTCATGCAAGTCACCTGTACCACTGCCAAGCACAGGCTTCAGTGCTTCAGTGATCAGGCACTTCTGAATGTGCTGTCTGCCCTGGCCTTACCCTCCACCTGGACAGTAGGTTCACCCAGCACTCACCGCAGGCGCTTAGCAGTGGGTGCAGGACCTCCTCAGCTGCACACAGTCGTTTATGTGGTTAGCATCTCTCTCAGCTCCGTCAGATCCTCATGATCCCAAAGGCTAAGAACCTCCGCTCCACCGAGCTCCTGGGCACTCTCACTTCCTTTCCCTTCCTTTCCCTTCCTTTTCTTTTTTCTTTTCTTTTCTTTTCTTTTCTTTTCTTTTCTTCTTTTCTTTTCTTTTCTTTTCTTTTCTTTTCTTTTCTTTTCTTTCCTTTCCTTTCCTTTCCTTTTCTTTTCTTTTCTTTTCTTTCCTTTCCTTTCCTTTTCTTTTCTTTTCTTTTCTTTCTTTCTTTCTTTCTTTCTTTCTTTCTTTCTTTCTTTCTTCCTTCTTTTTGTTAATCCTCACCCGAGGATATTTTTGCATTGAATTTTAGAGAGAGTGGAAGGGAGGGGACAGACAGAGAGAGAGAAACATCAATGTGAGAGAGACATTGATTGGTTGCCTTCTGCACACCCCCCCCACCCAGGGCTGAGATGGAGCCTGAACCAACATACATGCTCTTGACAGGAATCGAATGGGGGACCCTTCCGTCCACAGGCCAATGCTCTATCCACTGAGCCAAACCGGCTAAAGCAAATCCCACAGTTTTTGATATGCTGTGTTTTCATATTCATTTTAAAACATTTTCTTATTTAACTAATAGATTATTTAGAAGTGCATTGTTTCCAAATATTTGGAGATTTCCCAGAGATCTTAATCTTTTAGTGATTTCTATTTTAATTCTATTCTGGTCAGGATACATCCTTTGTATTGCTTTTAATTCTTTTAAATTAGACTTAGTTTATGGCCTAGAATATGGGTCTGCCTCGTTCCATGTGCTCTTCTGTGCTGGGGGAGTGCCAGTCAGGCAAGTGAGTCTGCCTGTATCCTCCCGACTTCCCACTTGTTCGATCTCCCTGGGTCTTGTGCACACACTTGTTTTTGAGTTTGTTTCTGGAAAGTCCCACGCCTGCTGCCACCCTGCCCTTTTATTCATATGGATGTGCCAGCTCACCGTTGATTGCGCGCTGAGTCCTGTAAGAGAAGAATTACCTGCTTGGAGCGCACGCTCGGGTGCTACCTTCCTCCCTCCTGACGGGATTTTCTGTTTGTTTTTACTGCTTCCAGACACAGGGTGGTGCTAGTTGTCTAGACTCGTGTGACTCTGGACTCCCGAGTGATTTGGACGTACTTTTTCTGATCTAAAGGCATCTCTCGTGGGACATTTGTCTCGTCACAGCGGCTGGGACTCTCGGAGCCGGGTTAGCTCCAGGTCTATCCAACAGGAGGCCCCTCGGATTAGTGGTTGGTGTTTTCGGGGAACCCAGCATCTGTGGACAGTCCTCCTGCTTCCCAGGGCCCTGTTTCCCCAACCATCTCAGACACCTTCCCACAGACCCAGCTTCCCGTTGGCCAGAGCTTCCCCTCCTGGTCCACGTGCGAAGATTAAGGCCCTTTTCTCAGGTCGCTCCTACAGCATCCCTCAGCACCTCAGTGAGCGCCCAAGTCCTGGGACCTGGGAGTCCCTAACTCCCAGGTCAGCGTGCCCAGCCCTTGCAGGGCCCCCCTCTGTGCCTGCAGCGGAACCGCCACAGCTTCCCCACAGGCTTCCTTAACTGCACCCCCTTCTCGGAAAACAAGCCAGGGCAGGGGCACCACTTCCTGCCTTTTCTGCAGAGATCTTATCTTTATCCACACACCTCCTGGGCCCTCCTACCAAAGCCGCAGGGCTTGGGCCTCCTCCCATGAGGACCCTTCCCCTTCTTTCTCTCCAGCCTCCTGTCTTATAAACAAAAGGGAAGGAAACCCCACCCCACAGCCTCCCGCTCTCTGCCCCCCCTCTCCCCTGCTCTACTGGGCAGGATGCCCCCAAGCCCCTGAGACTGGGCCCTGGGAGGGGGCTCAGACTGTCCCTGCCACCCTTCCGGTCCACACTCCAGCCACCGGTCATCCTAACCCGAGTGGGGCCTCCCCGGTCCTGCTGTATTGACTGGGATGGCCAGCTTGCATTTTCCATGTAAACTGTAGAAGTCATTTTTTTTAAAAAATGTATTTTTATTGATTTCAGAGAGGAAGGGAGGAGGGGAGAGAGAGATTCAGTGATGAGAGAGATTCTTTGTTCAAGTTTTCTTCGCCACCCCCCACACCCCCCCCGCCGTTCCCCAATGGGGATCAAGCCCATGACCCGGGGCATGTGCCCTGAGCGGGAATCGAACCGCGATCTCCTGGTTCATGGTTGGATATTCACACCCGGGCTGGGCGATCCTTAACATTTTTGTTGCCTTTTTAATAACTAGCTATTTAAAAGAATTCTCCATGTAGAAAAACAAGTGACTTTCATTCATTGACTGTGTCCAGAAGCGTGCTAAACTTTCTTGTGAATTCTACTAACTTATGTGTAGATTCTTCTGGATTTTTTACAACCCCAGTGGCATTGTCTGTGAGCGATGAGGGCTTCAACCTCCTTTCCAACCCTATGACTTCTTTGCTCCTAACTTGCTGCCCTGGTTAAGGCCTCCAAGGCAAAGCCCAGGTGAGAGTGGGCCCGCGCTGGTTCTGACTTCAGAAAGTAGGACACTTGCTGTGGTTTATGTTTTGATGATATCTGTTATCAGATTAAGGAAGTTCTCTGCTATTTCTGTGGTAGGCAGTTAGACAGACATGAGCAGAGCAAGGACGCTGGGCAGGTCCAGAAGGTCACGGGTGGGAAGCCCAGGTGCCTAGCAATGGACAATCCGCTGTAGGGAGGATCCTGCCCCCAGGTGACTTTTCCTCCCCTGGCATATCAGGTCACGAGGTTTGGACCCCCTGGCCTTTCCTCCAGAGATGAACATCTAGGCCTCAGCTCCATTTCAGCTCCAGGCCCCTAGAAGCAACAAAACCCGTCACTGCTGACGTCAGGACCAGCTGCTTTGGATAATGACCCCCTGCCCTGGTGCCGCCAATCGATCAGTGGAGACCACAACCCTGAACGGACACACCTGGAAAGCTGCCGAATATTCTATTTCGATCTTCCCCTGGGACCGCCCCTAAAATCTCCGCCCTTAAAACCCTTAGGAGGAGGACCCAGTGGGCTCCCCCCTACCCGCCGCCCCACAGGAGCACACCCCTGCCTTTTCCTTTCCCTTACTGCCACCCCACCCCCCTCCACTCACCAGGCACTTTATCCTTAGCTTCCTCACTCCCAAGCTCCAAGGGCCCTTCCTTTATCTCTAGAATATAATCACGGTTGGTAAATGTTCCATGTGTGCAGGAAACACATGTACAGTCTACTCTTGCGTTGGCGTGTTCTGTGAATGGCGGTGATGTTCCGTTCTCTGAGCTCCCTGCTGCCTTTCTGTCCAGCAGGTCTACCGATTGCCTGAGTGGGACTGTGCACGTGTCTGTTCTTCCTTCAGCTCTGCCCGTTACTGCTTCATGTCTTTGGATGCTCTGTGGTTTGGTGCATTCACATTTAGGCTTGTTCTACCTTTTACGGGTGGATTGGTCTTTTAACCATTAGATAATGGCCCCCTTTCTCTCGAGTAATTTTCTCTTATCTGAGATCTCTTTCTGATATCAATATAGCGTGTAAATTAATGTTTACAAGAGATATCTTTTTCTACTTTATTTTCAACCTACCTCTGTTGTGTTTGAAAAGACTTTCTTATAAACAACACATATTTGGGTCCTGGCTTTATTATTTTTTTGTATGCACTTTGCCAATATCTGTCTTTTGAGTTATGTGTTTAGACCATTTACATTAAAGTATTATTGACATGCTGGGGCTTAAGTCTAGCTTTTGATTTTTTGTTTTAGATTTGTTCCCACTGCTTCTCATGCCTCTGTTGTTGTTTCCGTCTCCCTGTGAGTTGTGTGAACATTTTGAGAGTTCCATTTTGATGTATTTATGTTTTCGAGTTTTGTGCAATTTTCTTATTGATTGCCCTAGATGTTAAATGCATATGTAACTTATCACAACCTAATAGTACTTACAATTTACTAGTTCAAGTGGAATATAGAAACCTTACGTACATTTAGGTTCTTTACCCTCCCACTTTAAAAATACAGTTGTCCAAAATACTTCCTCTATGTACATTGAACACCACTTCAGGTAGTGGTATAGCTTTTGCTTCAAACATAACATTTTTTTTCCAAATAATACACAGTAGAATATTACTCTCAGGTGTATAATACAGCAATTCGATATTTACATAGCTTACAATGTGCTCCCCCCACAAAGTCTGGCCAGTTTTTGTCACTGTGCAAACTTATCACAACGTTATAAATTTCTACCTTTCTTAAAAACCAACAGAAAACACAAAATACTGTCATCACCATTGCAATTATTACCGTGACCATTTCTATTACTACCTATGGGTTAACCCAGTCAAGTTTTTCTGCCCACAAAGGTACCCACTTGACAGAAAATGACGCGGAGGGGGCGTGCTTCGCTTTGGGGAAATTCCTAAATCCTTCTGGGAACCGCTGGCACCCGGTGAGCCCAGGTGAAATGTCAAAGTCCACCGGACAGCCTTCCTCAGCACAGGAGAGGGGGAGGGGTGTGGAGTCTGCCAGGAGAGAGAGAGAGAGAGAGAGAGAGAGAGAGAGAGAGATCTCAAACAACATTTGATGGAGAAACTCACAAAGCAAAGGACAGTCTATAGTGGCTCTCAACCTTCTGGCCCTTTAAATACAGTTCCTCATGTTGTGACCCAACCATAAAATTATTTTCGTTGCTACTTCATAACTGTAATGTTGCTACTGTTATGAATCGTCATGTAAATATCTGATATGCAGGATGGTCTTAGGCAACCCCTGGGAAAGGGTTGTTCGACAGCCAAAGGGGTCGCGACCCACAGGTTGAGAACCGCTGGCAGGTCCACTCTGCTCTTACCCACTGCATCGCTGCCTCCCTTCTTGGAAGCCCCATCTCAGTGTCAGCATTTTCTTTCTGCTTGGAGGCCTTTGTTGAACCAAGTGTGCCTACCAGCAACACGTCCTCTTAGTTTTCCTGCATTTGAGGATGTCCTTGTTTCCCTTCATTGCTGATGTCTGTAGGGTGGTTTCACAGACACAGGGTGCGGGCTTGACGCACTTTCTTTCAGCTCTTCCACCTGTCGCACCTGTCGTTCCTCCGCCTGCTGCCTCCGAGCAGATGAGAAATGTGCAGTCGTGCACGTTGGTTTTCCCTTGTAGATAACGTGTCCTTTTTCTCTGGCTGTTTTTAGGATTCTTTTCTTTGTCTTTTGTTTTCAAAAGATTAGTTCTGATGTGTTTTGATGGGAATTTCTTTGGGTTTTATCCTGTTTGGAGTTTGCTCAGCTTCTTGAATCTGTAAGTTTATGTCTTCCACCAAATTTGGGAAGTTTTCAGCCATATTTAAAATTTTTATTTTAGTCTCTCTCTTCTCCCTTTCAGATCTCCAGTAATAGAAATATACGAAGTTTTGCTACTGTCCCAGAGGTCTCTGCTGCTCTATTATTTTTTCCTATTTTCTCTCTGTTGTTTACATTGAGTAAATTCTCTTGGTTTGTCTTCAAGTTCACTGATGCTGTCCTTATTCATTTCCATTTTACTAGTGAGTCTATTCAGTGAGTTAAAAACACACTGAAACAAGCATGAAGCAAGCAGTGGCGCTGGTAAATGCAACAGGTATAGGATGGTTTCCACGATTGCTCACCTGATTCTTCAAACTTCACCTGAAGGCTGAGAGCAGTTTCAGTAAAGAAGAGTAAGGAGAACGTGAAGCTGCATTTTTTTCTAGACAAGATCCTTACCTAGTTCTTGATACAATATCATTCCTTTTAGAACAGGCAGCATATCGCCATTGGAAGCCAGCAGCTTTGCAGCAGCAGGTAGAGAACATTCATCTTAAACAAGACAACGCAGAAGCATTTGCCAGTGCTTGGTCTTCCACGGCCTGAGAAACAGTTAAAAAATTCAGGCAGAGCAGTCTTGCTTCCCACAAGCTAGCGACTGCAGGCTGGCTGCTCGATCCTCAGAGGGCTCCTCTGCCCCAGCAGAACCAAAACCTCCTCAAGCTGGGGCACAGCCAGGGTGCGCGAGGAGGATGAAGAGGGTCTGGGGGAGTTCCTGTGGCATCCAGTCACAAGGAGCCCTCGGATTTCTGTAACAAGCGAGAGGCCATCCAGCACAGCTGGGCTCCCTTCCCTGATGTTCTCAAAGACCGGTTTCCCCATCACACTCCTGCCACCTCGTTGTCTTGCTTTGAAGATAGACGGCCAGGCTGTGTTTTCTGAAGGAGTCAGCAGTGTTCTTCTTGTAAATTAAGTGGCTTATCACTTCTTAGACTAATAATAGCCAAGGGGAATCATTTTCTGAGGACTGGTTTCTAGTAGAGAGGGTGTCACAAAGAAATGGATGCACATGTCGACTGCCATTTTAATTCCAGTGGGTTAAATCTGAAAAGAAAGAAACATCAGTTGAGCTATCAGCTATTAAAGTGTGTGTACATTTTGGGGGGACACCCTGTATATTCTCTAGTTCCATGAGCCAATAGCAAGCAATTGTTAAGAACACTTTTGCTTAAAAAAGAAAAGAAAAAGTATTTTTTTTACTGTCCTATTTTTTCTTTTTTATCTAACTAGTTTATTTTTTATATATTTGATGACACTACAGGTGTCAAGGAGGGTCCTGATTGGATACAAGGTATAAAGTGTACCTTAGAATACAGAACTTCAGTAATTACATTAATAAAAATAAGAAAGCAGTCACCTGCAATCAAACATATTACAGTATTTTTCTTTTAAATATAATGGGCATATTTTGTTTTGGAAATAATACAGGAAAGAAGTGAAAAATAGAGCTAGTAGTAATATATCAGATAATTCGTGTGAGTTTCTCTGTGCACTGTTGTTTTTTCTCTGAGTGTAGTGATTTAATTATAGTCCAGGGCTTTGTATGCTTTTCTTTGTACTGCAGATTAATAATGATTCACTTTGTAGTGTGGGAGTCAGATTCAGATCATGGATTAAAAGAATTATAATGAGTACTAAGTGTGTATCCTTAACATTTCAAAACAGATAACTTTTACATTCTCTTTCTGTAAATATGTTCATTTCAGTCAATAAAATTTTTGACTTAGCATTACTTAAAAATAACAGCTTTATTACGATATGATTCATATACCACAAAATGAATCTTTTACTTCATTTTTTAAAATATATTTTTATAGATTTCAGAGAGGAAGGGAGAGAGAGAAACATCAATGACAAGAGAGACTCATTGATTGGCTGCTTCCTGCCTCCCCCACACTGGGATTGAGCTCACTACCTGGGCATGTGCCCTGATCGGGAATCGAACTCTGACCTTCTGGTTCCGAGGTAGATAGATGCTCAACCACTGAGCCACCCGGTCAGGCTATGTTGGATGCTGTTCTGAAATCCTTGTCAGGTGATTCCGACATCGAGTTCACCTTGGCACTGCCATCAGCTGATTGTCCTTCATCATCAAATTGTGTGCTTTGTGTGGTGAGGGATTTTCACGTGTATCCTGGGCATTTTGGTTATGATGTTGGGGAGACTCTTGATTCTTTTTAAATGTTCTGTTTCAGCAGCTGGTCACCTGTTTCAGCTTAGGTATAGGTTTTGGCCTTCTTTTGTGGACTTTGGTTCCAATGACAGTTTAGTTTACAAAGCCCCTGCAGAACTACCCGGGCCCGTCTCGCTGTCCTGGTGCTTCGGGCCCCCGCTCAGTCCCGGCGGGTCCCCAGGGAGCCCGGTGTCGCTGGTCACTGTCTATGCGGGTGGTTTTCCTGCTGCTGTAGCTGCGGGCAGACCGGACCACTTGCCTGATCATGGGTCTGGGGGAAGCCGCCCCGTCAGCAGTTCCCAGCAGGAGAGGAAACCCACAGCTGGGCCCTCTGCGCATGCCTGGCGATGCTCAGAGCTGCCGAGGCCGTTGGCTGCTGTGCTCACAGACCGAGAGCAGGAGCCACTGATAAGCCCTGGAAAGGCTCTCGCTGTCTCCACTGGTCCCGGGAGGCCACTGGCAGCCCCCACGCCTGTACATTTGACTCTGGGCTCCATCCCTGCCATTGCCCCAGCTGAGTGGCCAGAGCTGGCTGACGCCCCGGGGGCGGAGGGGCCATGAGGGCAGCTCTCTGGGCCTTGGGAGTCGGGCCCCTTCTCCTCACTCTCTGGGCAGTCCCCATCGGTGAGTTTCTTCTTCCTTCATCCACGGAACCTTCTGGAGGCAGTGGCTCTGTAGATGCTGAGTGTGAGGACCCTCTGCTCTGACCAGCTGCCTGGGTCTCGCTCAGCTCGGAGGGGGTGGGATATCCTGAGGTAGGAGGGTATGTGGACTCCAAAGTTCAGAGCCCTGGAGACTCTTGTCCCAACACTGAGCTGGTCCCATCCCAGGGTGAACCCAGGGCCTCCCGCCCCACTGCTCAGAGCCTGGGGTGTGGGCTGGGTCAGAGCCTGGATGAAATGAGGGTACATGGCTGGGGTCTGGTCTCAATGACTAGACTGACAGGAGGTGTGATGGGTCCAACAGGGGGCTGTTCCACCCCCTGTGCCCTGGAGCAGGGCTGGAAGGCGGGGGTGGGGGACGTCGCTACCCCTGGCGGTGAGGCTGAGAATCGGGCATGGTGCTGGGACATGGAGGACAGCTATAGCCCCAGGGAGACGCCACACCAGGCTGGGGGCACAGGGGTGTGGGAGCCGCTGGTCCAGAGGCCGAGAGGCAGAGTCCTGGGCAGGAAGCTGCAGAGAGGGGCCTGCATGCAGTCCTGGAGGAACAGCATGGAGAGGACGGAGGTGAGGCCGAGCCCCTGCGGGACCTGCCTACAGTAGCATGGGTGCGTGTGCATGTATGCGTGTGAGAGAAGAAGGTGAGCGTGTGTGCATATGCATGTGAGTGTGCATTCGTGTGAGTGTGCATTCATGTGAGTGTGTGTCAGGGCAGGGAGGCAGGAGAGGGCAGCAGCATTCGGTACCCTGGAAGCTGACGGAAGAAAACGTCACTGCCCAGGCTGACCCAGGGTCCAGCGAGGAGATGACTACACAGCCGGACAGAGGGGCACCCAGGTGGTGGGGTGGGAATCTGGTGGCAGTGAGGTGGGGGCGGGGGAATGGCACCAGGGGCCCTGTTGTGTGTTAGGGACGCAGGCACTGGTGCAGTTCACGGGCTGGGAGGCCGTGATGGCTGAAGGCCCCAGCGGGAGGTGGGAGGGCCTGCTTCCTTCGGGCCCTGGCGGGTCTGCCCTTCCGCCTCCTTCCCCACGTGAGTCCCGGGCAGCCCTGGTGGTGGTCTGGGGTGACCCAGGCTGGGACGAGGTGGCCCCCCTCTCAGATGTCCTGGGGCCGCTGTTTTATTTCCCTGCACCAGCCCAGGACTAGGGCTGAGGGTGGAGGGTCCGGGGCTGTGATGAGGTGGGGGTTGCCAGGGCTGAGGAAAAGACCAGGGTGCGGAGGCCTAGGAAGGGTGTGGCTGGGGGCAAGCTTCTGGGTCACTTTCTAATCTGGCTCTACCGGCAGCAAGGCCTTGGGGGTGGCCCCAGGCAAATGCCGAGGCCATCAGCACTGGGCTCACCCTCAACCTCCCCTCCCCTGGCACCCGGTGGTCTGGCCCCGCTGAGGCTGGCCTGTCCCTCCGCAGGCGGCCCGGGCAACCTGAAACTGGCGAACAGATACAGTGAGTGTGACGGACTGGTGCTGGTCCAACACGAGGGTGTGTGGGGACACGTGTGCAACCAGGAGTGGACGCTGGCGGAGGCGTCGGTGGTCTGCAGGCAGCTGGGCTGCGGCCAGGCTGTGGGGGCCCCCAAGTATGTCCCGCTGCCCCAAGAGAGGAAGCAGCCCGTGCTCCACAACGTGTCCTGCAGGGGGGACGAGTCCTCCCTGTGGGAGTGCAGCCTCGGGGCGTGGACGCAGACCCAGTGCCCCCACGAGTGGATGGTGGTTGTGCTGTGCACTAGTAAGTCAGTGCTGGGATGGTGGGTGAGGGAAGGGGGAGGGAGGGGAGGAGTCAGGGGACAGGGTGTGGGAGGGGAGGCAGGCAGGTCTCTGGCTCTCTGGGTGGACTCCTTTTGGGCACAGGAGCCGGCCTGGCCCCTCTAGCCAGGCCCAGCCTCATCTCCATTCCATGTCCTTGCAAGGCCCTGTTCTAGGTGCTGGGCATGCAGCTGGGGATAACCCGCACCTTCCTGCGGGGCAGAGCTGGGCTCCCCGGGGAGAGACAGAGAAAACCAACGACCCAGTAAAGCAGCAGCTGGAATGAGGAGCGGGAGTCGGACAGAGGGGTGGGGTGGGGGGGGGACTGCCCTGTCTTCTAGACACTTGAGGAGGCCTGAGGGGCCCACGTGGGTATCTAATCAGGATTTCTCACCCAAAGGCAGGGATGTCTGTCTGTGGGCACTTAGTGTCCCGCCTCTGACGCAGCCCCACTGCTCGGGTTGTGGGGTGCAGGCGCCCTTTTCAAAAACAAGTAGGTTGTCAGGAGCATGACAGCAGCGCATCACACCAGGCGCGGCCCCTCTGAGGGGGTCCTTCTGAGCGAGGGGCCCTGTGTGACTGCCTGGTCGGAAGGGGCCCCCTCAGCCCAGCACTGACACCGGAGGAAGGAGCAGGACCCGCCTCTGGGGCTGGGACCCCAGGCAGGTGGAGAGCCTAGGAGCTGCCCTGCCCGAGCGGAAATGTCTGTGGAGGCGGCCGCAGGCCCCCCGTGAGGCGGGGACAGCAGCGGCTGCCCCTTCTGAGTGTGGCTCGTGCTTTCCAGACGGTACTTTCCGGGAGATCCGGCTGGTGAAGGGCCGAAGCCCCTGCTCCGGGCTCCCCGAGATCAGGAACCTGAACGGCATTGACCGCCTCTGTGGCCTGCACAAGACGGAGGCCACAGTGTTCTGCCAGGAGCTGGGGTGCGGCCCCGCGCTGCAGGCTTCCCGCCAGGACGCAGGCACTGGCGGGAAGTACATGACTTGCCAGGGTACAGAGCCCACCATCCGTAACTGCAGACTCAACAACAACCTCCGCAGCGGCTGCGACTTCCAGCAAGACGCAGAGGTGGTCTGTTCAGGTGAGGCCACCGCCACGCCCGCCCCCTTCTCCTCTCGGACACCTGTGCTGCTTGCTGCTCAGAGGAAGTGGAGCAAATGGGGTGGTAGGGGCGGAGAGAGGAAAGCGCTGAGTCAGAGGTGAGAGGGCATTTGCCCACATCCACCCCAGAGTTGGGGCAGGCTGAGGCAGTGCCCTGTGGCCTGAGGGCCTTGACGTTGCCTCCAAGATTGGACAGGGCCTTGAAGCCACCACCTGGGCGGGCGCAGGCTGTGACATGCATGGGCGCCTGCAGCAGGTGGCTCTAACCTCTGCCCTGGGGGAAGCACCCAGGGACCCTGCTTTGTTCTGCGTGCAGGGCGCACCGGCCTCTGGCGGTCAGTCTGTCCGGTGCTTGGCGGACGCACTGCCTGGATACAGAGGACCTCCTCTGGCCGGAGCGCCCTGTGGTCCAGGGAGATGGCAACCAGGTGAGCTGTTTACCTGAGAACACCTGCTCCTGACTGAGAA